GTGGCTGAACTGCTTTGTCCCCTAAGTTAGGTTGTGCATTTCAGTTACCTTTTCCTAACTTTCCTTAGTTAGTGGCCAAGGGCTTCCTCTTATTCTTGGCCCTGCTACCCCCTAGTAGTGTGACCTCAGGCTGTTACTTTCTGTGTCTCAGTTTTCTCACCTTTCAAAAGAGTTACTAAGAGCACGTATCTCAGAGGCTCATGTACGCACAGAAGAAGGTAATATTCGCAAAACTCCCAGACCTGTGCTCTGCACAGAGTAAGTGTCCCAGAATGTTGGCTTGGGTCATTATTATCCTTATTTGAACACACGGATGAAGATGAAATACCTTTGCCACACAGAATAAGTATTCCAAACATATATTCTTCAAAAGTAGAATAATGTTCTCTCTATTGCCAGCTTTTTTTTTTAAACTTGATTTTTCATGTATCATTTTTTAAAGTCATTGGATTTTTCTGATCACATCATCCCCTGGTTTAACATGCTGCATTATATCCCCATCATTTTAAGAATCAAAAGCAAATGACACACCTTAATGAGATCAATATTCATAGTTGGTATTCTAACATTTTTGTAGCATTGTCTTTATTACGTAGTTATATCAATTATTTGTAAAAATAAGTAGAACCATAAAAAAAGCAGTTACTCTATTACATTTTTCCAGCATGTTATTTTCCCCTGGTTTCAGCGAATAGCTCCTTTACTCTTTCTTTCAAATATAATTTTCATTCACTTTGAATTAAGCTTACTGAGGTCCGCCCCCCCTTTTGGCATGTCAATCTCGATTGTAAATGCGAACCTACAGCATAAGGTCATGGGTCATAAAGTTTAATGGAAACTCAAGATGACATTCTTTTAATTAAATTTTTTAAAGGAACATAGTCTTTAGTTGGGGGACGTTGGCACAGAGATAAATTCAAGGTTCTTTACCTGGGGGTCGGGGAGGAGGATCGCTTTCATTGAGTGATGAGTTGCAGAGTTTTGATCAGACTTGGGTTTTAAAGGGATCATCCTGGCTAAGGACTTAGGAAGGGTCTTTGTGTGGAAGAATAAAATAAAGGAATGAAATAGAAGACAACCTATCTTCTCCTTGTCTTTTAGGAAACTACACTCTGAGAGTTGATTGCACCCCACTTATGTACAGCTTGGTGTACAATCTAACAAAGGAGGTAAAAATCATTACCTTGAATTTTAGAGAATCTAAGTTCTACAGATGATATGTTCTTGAAGTGGCTTTGCTATGTTAAATGCCCGTGCTATTTTATGACTTGTCTTTTTTTTCATATGGCAAATACCTACTCCATAGAACATTACATCCAATGAACCGTTCACGCCCGCTGCCCCGGTTCTCCCCACGCTGATCTGAGGCAGCCTATGGGAAGCGTTATATCTACCATCTCCATTTGAAAATGAGAAAACAGCTCAAAAAAGAAAAAAGCGTTTAGCCACTAAAGTCACACAGCTTGTTTGGTAGCTGAACCAGGAACTTGGTCCTGCAGTTTAACTCCTTAATTTTAAAACTGGTTTCACTCTTTAAATAGAACGATACCAGTTAATTCAGGACTCAGGAAGAATTGACGTTTCCAACCGATTGAGAAAGAGGCTGTAGAAGGACCCCAAGGGCTGACTCCAGGGGTGAATCAGTCTGGGACAGAGGCTAAGGCCATTTACCCCCTTCCTGATTGCCCACCACGGGCTCAGTCGGCTGAGCTCCATGGGGCCTGGCCATCAGCTGAAGTTACCGTAGTTCTGACAGCAGCACAAGATACTGAACCTGGCAGAGAGGTGGTGCCTGAATTTCTTCAGGACCTCCAGGCAGCTCTTCAGTTCTCCTGCCCCCAAAATCCTCTGGTCCTAAAGTTCGTCCGAGTGAGTTTTCATGGCAGATTTTTATTGTTATACTGATTACCTGGTTTGAACTGGACTTTCCTGTCCAGACTCACCATCTTAATAGAAATACCAATTGAAATATAATTACCGAGAAGAACAATTATTGCCCTCAGATAGGTATTTTAAATAAAACCTAAACATACCATTAAGCTTTGGATTCCCAAGCATGGAATTTAATGTATTAACTTCTCCAGTAGGTATAGAACGTTTTAATTTGGCAACAGTCTATTCATGGTATGACTGAAGAGC